CTTACAGGAAAACCACATAAATCCTCCAAGTTTTCCACTATGTTTATAGCATTATGTGGTAATTTTCACATGGATAATTATACGAGTTTCATACACCGCAAAAAATGTTGTAATGTTCACATGTGCAAATTACATGTTTTACGTGCTTTTCACATAGTTCACGTGTGACTTTTTTTTGCATGTTTTCACACGATGAAATGCACAAAACCACACAGGCACATGTGAAATTCATGTGGTTTTTCTATAAGGGGTTCAAAGATTTGAGCCTAAAAAGATCTGGTGCAGCAACTTGGTTAAAAAAACAAAACAGAATGCACTGTTTGCATTTTGGAATGACTCTTTTAACCTAACTTTAACTATTTAACGCTGCAAAATGATGTGAAATATGCCCAATGTGACATTCTGTTTATATGCAGTCCAACCATATTATACATTATTATATACAGAATAGCAAATGTAATGATCTTCTACATCTGTGACACTTGAAGTTTGTCCAATTTTGCCCAAATACCAATTTTTTTCTCACAGAATTTTCCACCTGCACTGTACTTTAGGACAATAAGATATCAGATATAGTTTCAGTTTTTGATAATCATCAGCAACATAATTCAAGATATTACGACAATAACTATAGATTTGATTTTTAAATTGTCAGGCAAATTCATGTGTCTCATCTATTTAGCATGCTAACATTAGCATTTATCTTTATGTGTAGGCTACTATAACAAAGTCACTACGATCGCGTGAGTTTTTGTTTGTGGAATATATTATATTAGTGAAGTCTGTAAGTTTCCTCTTTGTGCTTTGGGGTCACATACGTGGAATTAAAGGTCTGCTTCATAATCTGTATATAAACGCAGTGACTGATTTGAGGTCTTAAGTTTTGTTTTGTTTTTTTGCTCTTTTGAAATTTCACGTAAAAATTGAGGGGTGGAGCTGACTGAGCCCTGAAGCACACCCTCATTTATCATCTGTTTTCCTCTAAATAGAATCATAGTTCACAAGATTAGCTTCATTCCGTATTAAAGGAGACTTTAAACGAGCAATCGAGCCCACTTCTTTACTAGGAAAATGTTTATTAAATAAGAAGTAGAGTCACTTTCTTTTTACCTTCTACACAATCTGACCCCTTTTTTTTTGCAACCAGAGGAGTCGCCCCCTGCTGGCTGTTAGAGGAAATGCAGGTTTGAGGCTTCACTTTTCAGCTCCAACTGCTACGTCCATCTTTTATATACAGTTTATGTTCTCTAGGCATGTATTGCTGGTTGCCGTCCACCGCTGTGTCTTTTGTGAAACCTCCACTAGATGGCGCCAAAGTCGGAATTTCTCAAATCACGGTGGCTTAAAGGTGCAGAAACCCCACGAGAAAACGCCTTGAGAGCCAAATCGTGTAATTAAACAGAAATGCAGGAAACATTTGGACTGATTAGTGCATCTCTTTATCGTCACTACACAACAGATGTGGTGGAAAATGAGACTCACCCTGGATTTAGGACGAGGAGAGGAAACCTGAGGAACACCAAGCAACAACACAGTGACTGATTGTACAAAGAGAACACGACAACAAACTGAGACTAACACATGATGGAGCTGCTGATTGAGTCTTTCCCACTAATGCTTTTTTTAAAAAAAAGAACACACAATATGTAAATGAAGGAGTCACGCAGCTTTGTAATCCGAGCGGGAAGAAAAAACAGTTTAGCGTGCTGCGCTTGAAACAATGCCACACTTGCAACGCTGCCAGGAGTCAGATCCAAAGACAATGCTGACATTTGTACAGAATAAATTAGAGCAAATCGGTTGGTGTGTTATGCAAGTTGAGCGCTTTCAGAGTGTCGAGGTCAAAACCGGGTTAGATCAGAAAAGAACACTCAAGATGTTAGAATGGTGCAACAAAACCGGTTAAAAACGATGTATGAGGTGATGCAAGGAACACTGGTTGATCCTTGAAACTTACAATGCTCCTGAAGAAATGCACCACAGCGTTTTCATTGGTCCGACGGCGAGAGGAGGATTGCTGGGGGGAGGCGGCCAGGTGACCTCGGAAAGACCCCTGAGAGGATCAACAGAAGGGGACATAACTGCATGTGTTAGCACGGTGCAATAAATATGACAAGTTCAAGAGACGCTGCTGGAGTCAAACAACCAGCAGGCAGGTTTTTAGACCTTAAAGCATCGGATGACTAAATTAAACGGCAAGATGCAACTTTTCAGCCCTCAACCCAAAGTCCTGCTGGACGTCTACCTGCCTAATAGTCAAGCAAGCATCTGAAATGTCGCAAAAAGAAAACGCGAAGTGGGTTTGTTTGCTTTACACTAAGTCGCGCCTCCAAAAGGGGGCGCTGTAGGCAACACATGGCTGGAACAATCAAAGTAGAAGAAATCAAACATAAAAGCGATTGCAATTGCAAAAAAAAAAAACTTCAAAGTAGAAGAAAAAATTTACTAAATTTTGCCATCGACGTGATAAAAATGGAGAAAGTTGGTCTTCAGGAGTCGATTTCGATTGTGACAGTTTTAATAATTCTCTCACGTCAGCTGATGTCGACAACATCAGGAGATGAACGCAATAAAAAAAAAAGCAGTCATGAGTTCACGTGAGAACTGATTAGAAAATGGTTTTTGCATTTTCTACCATAAAGCAAATGAACTTGTTTAGTAAAAAAAAAAAAAAAAAGTCAAAAACCACCTCAACAGACTGTTTAAACTTTCGTTGTCATTTCCATGAACTGTTTCTGATGCATTACCTCAAAAATGTGCATAACAACATCTTTTAGAAACACTGCTGATGGAAAAACAAAAGACGTAGATCAAGATGCCAGACCGTGTCCATGATGAGAAATATGTCAAAAATAATCACGTATAGTCTCTAAACACCTACAAACTCGTCTTTGTCAGTTACAGTTGCATATTGAATCGTTTCTTTCCATGAAAATATCTTAAAATGTCTTAAATGTAACCCGCCACTGTTTTAATGTGCAGATGTGTGAAGTCCAGGCCACTGCTCCACCAGCTCGAGCACACCAGCTCACCTTACCGTATAAAACTACGCCGCACAGTGAGAAGTTATGAAATCAGAGTAATTCAGACAAAAATACTGTTTAGAATAATACAGAAATCTCCACCGAGCAAGTTGAAAGGATTGTTTTGTTGTTTAAAGATTTGTTTGTGAATCTGTGTTTTTGAGAACGCAGCTTCAATTTACCTCTAATGTAAATCTCTAATTTACCATCTGGGTGTGTTCACAATGTGAAAACTTGATTTTCATGACTTTAAAAGAAATTAAATGCAAAAAAAAGGGCAAAACTGGCAGTGGGAGTCGACTACAGAGGATATGACCTGGAGTTCTGTGACCGTATTATAAACCATATTTGTTCAGACAGAGAAAAACACACTTCTGTCCATTTATTCTAATTTATCTGTCTCTTATTTAACACGTTGTTGTGTTTCAACAATGCAAATGAGCACAAACAAACCTAAAAAGACCCCTTTCATGTGCACAGACAGGTTGGGTTTTACAGAGGAGCCACAGAGGCCACAATCAGGGAGATTTATCAAGATCTGCACCTACTCATGCAAACAGACGTCAGATGGAAGCGTTCTGATTGGTCGGGCTCCTCCCATCATGCAGGGCTGAATTCTGAACCTTGAAAGAAGCTTTGTCTGATGGTTTCTATCTGCAGCATCACCGCCTTTGACCTCTGACATTTCAGACTAAACGTACCTGTTCTATACGCGCCTACAGCTACACCTGCGCTTCACCGCTCAGTCGGTACAGAGCAGAATTTTATCTTTGCACCAGAACTCAAAATAACATCATATCAGCGGCGATGGGTGGAACAAAAATACCAAAACATCTGAGAGAATCCACAACTGGAGCCTAGAAAATTTACAACAGGAGGTAAAAATGGACAATTTCATCCTTTAGACTACGATAAAGTTTAATAAGTCAATTAACTTTGAGATTTTGGCTGCAGATGTGACATAAAAATAGTGAAACCAAAGAGTCCAAAGAGGCTCGGGGGTGGATTTTGGGGGAATTCAGGGAATTAACAACATTTAGTCCGTCCACATATAAATTGGTGCAGGAAATTCCCCAGAATGCAGAAATGAAAGAGAAAACCCCAAAGCTCCGGCTCACTGCATCCCGCTGGAGTGTTGGGAAGAAAAAACCTGTATTCATGGTTGTTTCTTACATTTATATCCAATATCAGTGTGTACGTTCAAGCAACGTTTTGATTTTCAATCTTGCAGCACCATCCTTGTATAAAAATGTAAAAACTGGAAGTGGCCCAAATATAAAAGAGCAGCTTGTAATGACAAGAACAAGACTTTTTTTTTTTTTGAAAATGTAGAAGAAGAAGAAAAAACTGAATTCAAACTGAATTCAAGGCTTTATAATAAGAGAGCGCTAAATTTAAGCTGAATTTTTATTATTTTTTAGTCATTACAAGAAGCTTTTTAATCCTGAGGCCACTTTTCAGATGGTTTCCAGTTTTTACATTCTCATGGGTCTATTTTATTTTTAAATAAGAAAATGTTCAGTTTAAACAGAACTTATTTGAACTCAAGCTGAATTTAAGCTTTTCTGTTCACTACAGGTTGGTTTTTAAAACTCAGCGTTCTTTTCATGTGGTCAACAGTTTTTCACATTTTTATCGAAGGAAAGTTTTTTGTTTTTAAACAGAAAAATGTTACATTTAAGCAGAATTAGAGACTTTTTGATGAGAAAACATTAAATTTAAGGCATTTTATTTCTAAAATGTTAAATTCAAACTGAGTCTAAGTTTTTCTTGTCATTACAAGTTGCTTTTTATTTTTTGGACAAATATCTTTTCTATTTCTTTTTTATAGAAGGACATTTTTTCTATGAAAATGTTAAATATGAGGTGAATGTAGGACTTTCTAATAAGAAAAGTTTACATTCAAGCTGAATCTAAGATTCTGTTTTGGTTTTTGCAAGCTGCTTTTTTTTCTTCAAACAGAATTTTCCATTTTGTCATTAAAAACTCTTAAAGCTAATTTTAATTGAACATTTTACGACATTTCTTTTATTTCAGCCTGTATTTAACATTGTCTCATGAACAGCTCTTTGCATTTTCAACCTGAATGCACGACTTCAGAGGAGGTGAACCATTGATCTGCTTCTGCTGCTTTCAAATATAAAACCAAGTAATTCCTCATTTCTGCCAAAAGTCACTCAGAGTAAGAAGTTATCAGTCAGGAAAGTTGATTTTTGCTATTTATTTTTTTCACAAACCTGTAAATTCAAATTACTCTACAGAAAATTAATATGAATTTATAGAAATGGTGGAAATTAAAAATGATTATTGAATCATGGTCGAGTGAAAAGAGAAAAATGTAACTGGAGGCATTTTAAGTGTAAAACCGGAGCCGATGCACTGATGCTCACCTTGCTCCTCTTCTTTTTGTCTCCTCCAAAGAATTTGCTAATCTGATCCATCAGCCCGGGGTTCTTCTTTTTCCTGCCCAACCCGAAGGCGCTCTGCCCTGAGGTGCTCGCCGTTGCCATGCTCGGGTTCTTGCTTTAGTCCTCTTCCAACCAGTCCAAAGCCCACAGTGCCAACGCTCGGCTGCTTTCAGGGAGGTTTGCAGCCCGTCTGACGCTCGGGGGGCCGTCTTTGAAGGTGTCGTCCCCCTGGGCCACCACGGGACACGAGGGGGGTCCGGTCCACGGCTCTGGCTCCGGTCCAGACATTCTTCTAGCTTCAGTGGCTGTGTCAGTCGCTGCCGCCCTCCGCATGGGCCCGGCCATTGTTCCTCTCCCCATCTGCCTCACCCCGAACGCCGGGACAACAAGGCCGATCTCTGAGGCTGAACTCACACCCTGATGCAAAGCAGCCCGGAGCACTGAGGGGCCCATTGTTGGGCCGGGCTCATATATCTCCTTGATGCATTGTGCTTAAATTGGACCTACAGATTGAAGAGGCCCAGAAGAAAGAGTGAGATTATTGTGAGAAAGACACGAAAACCTGTGAAGGCGAGCCAAGTGTCCGGGTCTGCACGGCGCTGAAATAAACTCGGCGTGACTTTGCATGTTTGGATTTTCTTCGGTTTGGTGTCTTCAAACCAAAACCTGCCAAATGTGTCGCACATCTTCAGCTACAGTCATGAACTAAAGTGTACACCTGAATGTAAAGACCATGTACATCATGGCAGCTTGGAGTCTTCAGCGACTCAGAGTTTTCTATAATGGAACAATTGAAACACGAGTCTTTATCCCAAAAAACACAATCCGGCATTTTGCTTCTTTCATTGACTTATTAAAGGATTTCTGGAAATATGACAAAATCTGCTGAGTCAGAAACATACACGCAGCAACTTGAATGATCAGTT